CTGGTTCGTCCTCTAGTTCGTCCTCTGGTCCGTCCTCTGGTACAGTTTCTGTCTAAACGTGTGACGTGTTGTGAAGTTTGTGTCCAGGACTTTCCTGTTGTGTGACTGCTGTCAATCAGAACAAAGTGTTGTTTGGAGGTGGAGTCAGAGTAACTCTTCAACACGGTCAGTTCTTGTTGTCACCTTGGTCAGTTCGTACTAACTTGTGATCAGATTATCTTTAACCAGACTGAAGGTTCAGTCCACGGCGTGAAGTGTGAATATTATACCAGGTGTTGAGTGGGGTTTGTGCCATTGTGTTTCCTGGTGTGTGAATGTGGGGCAAAAGATTTTGTTTGGAGCAGGAACCAGAGTCGATGTTGAGTCCAGTAAGTCTTGAAGTAAAAAAAAAAGTCATGAAAATGAACCTGTTTTTTTTGAATGAGGTTTGGTCAAAGACTTCAGTTAAATCATCTGTTTTTTGAATGAGGTTTGGTCGAAGACTTCAGTTAAATCATCTGTTTTTTGAATGAGGTTTGGTCGAAGACTTCAGTTAAATCATCTGTTTTTTGAATGAGGTTTGGTCGAAGACTTCAGTTAAATCATCTGTTTTTTGAATGAGGTTTGGTTCAGTCGTAGAAAACCAGTTTGTGTAGCTGTGTTTCCTGTTGTGTGTATGGTGCTGAAAAGTTGGTCTTTGGACCTGGAACCAGACTAAAGATCAGAACTGGTGAGTCCAGACGTTCCTTCGTTTTAATGTTTCAGAAAAAGTTAGGATTAAAAAACTACGTTTAACTGTTGGTCCAGATAATTTAATAATCTGTCAAAAATATTAGACTCTAAGGTCAAAGGTCAAAAGAAAGAAAATCATGGACGTCAGGTCATAACCTAGCTTGGTCTCTTTTAGCTACGTTAGCTTAAAATAAATACAGAGAAAATCAGAGTCGTCAGTCGTGAGGAATTTAGTCTTTTAGTATTTACAATACTTTACAATACTTCACAATACTAGACAATACTAGATAATACCAGTTAATACTGCACTTTACTAATGTAATACACAGGAAAGGATTAGACAAAGTATTTTTGCGTTCAAAGTTGTTTAGCCTTCAGTAAAAAGTTTTTGTTGAGATAAAAATGACTGTGTGACGATGAGCTCAAACTCGAGAATGATTTTCGGAAGTGGAATCAAAGTCGTTGTACAGAGCAGTGAGTATTCGCAAATACTTCAGTTACTTCATCTTCAATTAAACAATAGAAGAAGAATTAGACTGTGACATCAATCAATATGCAGACGATGTGATTTACTTTGTTACTAATGTCGGTCCTGAGGAGTCCGACCTGAATGTCTATGGTCGTAAACTCATTTCGTTATAGGATCGTTATCGTGAAAATGAGTTACAGTAACTTCCTGATTTTCTAGTTTTTGACCAGAATGAAGGGTCAAAGCTAACAGTTAGCATGGGCGCACTTCTTGTTTAGATTGAATCCACAGTGTGAACAAGTTATAAACTCACGTTTGGAGCCGGAGTCGCAGTGAGTGTAGACGATCACCGTGAGTAACGACGACCTGAACCTTCACTCTGTGAATATCTCAAAAAAGATTAGCTTTAGGTTAGCTTAGCACAGAACCAGTTCATACACTGGTCTGTAACCAGTGACCCTGACGTGACCGTTCAGGACCAGGGACCAGGGACCAGGGACCAGGGACCAGGGACCAGTACTCTGTTGTCGGTGTACTCTGTTGTCAGTGTTGGTGTAGCTGTAGGTCAGTGACTGCAGTACTCTGTAGTATTTGTCTGGGTTCCTTCTACTGTGTCACTACTGGTACTGACAGAGTGATGTTTGGAGCAGGAACCAGAGTCGATGTTGAATCCAGTAAGTCTTGAAGTAAAAGAAAAAGTCATGAAAATGAACCTGTTTTTTTGAATGTGATTTGGTTGAAAACTACAATTAAATCTCCAGTTTTTTGAATGAGGTTTGGTTGAAGACTTCAGTTAAATCGTCCATTTTTTGAATGGGGTTTGGTTAAAAACTTCAGTAAAATTGTCTGTTTTTCTAATGAGGTTTGGTTGAAGACTTCAGTAGAATCTCCAGTTTTTTGAATGAGGTTTGGTTAAAAACTTCAGTTTAATCGTCTGTTTTTTGAATGGGGTTTGGTTCAGTTATGAGTTTGTGTCCTGGTGTTTCCTGTTGTGTGAATACTGGAGTGGGTCGACTGCAGTTTGCAGCTGGATCCATGTTGACAGTTCGCAGCAGTGAGTTTTCACCACATTTATTTTCACCAAACACAAAATGACACAAAACAATTGTTTAAAGTGAAACTGAACTAGTGGTCATTGTGACACTGTGACACCACTGCACCACTGCACACAACCAAATGTGACCTCTGCTCTTAACCCATCACCACAGTCAGTAGGCAGCAGTGTGTGGGGACGGTGCCCTGCTCTGAGCAATCAGATGGACTTGAACCTGAAACCTTCAGGACCCAAGTAGTATTAGTACGGAGTAGCAGTAGTATTAGTAGTACGTATTTGAAGTAAAATGTGACAAACTACAGTAAACGAGGCGTCTGTGACAGACGGTCATTAATCAACATGATGACGTTGTTAATGAGTAAAATCGTCCGTTTTTTGAATGAGGTTTGGTTGAAGACTTCAGTTAAATCGTCCATTTTTTGAATGGGGTTTGGTTAAAAACTTCAGTAAAATTGTCTGTTTTTCTAATGAGGTTTGGTTGAAGACTTCAGTAGAATCTCCAGTTTTTTGAATGAGGTTTGGTTGAAGACTTCAGTAGAATCTCCAGTTTTTTGAATGAGGTTTGGTTGAAGACTTCAGTAGAATCTCCAGTTTTTTGAATGAGGTTTGGTTAAAAACTTCAGTTTAATCGTCTGTTTTTTGAATGGGGTTTGGTTCAGTTATGAGTTTGTGTCCTGGTGTTTCCTGTTGTGTGAATACTGGAGTGGGTCGACTGCAGTTTGCAGCTGGATCCATGTTGACAGTTCGCAGCAGTGAGTTTTCACCACATTTATTTTCACCAAACACAAAATGACACAAAACAATTGTTTAAAGTGAAACTGAACTAGTGGTCATTGTGACACTGTGACACCACTGCACCACTGCACACAACCAAATGTGACCTCTGCTCTTAACCCATCACCACAGTCAGTAGGCAGCAGTGTGTGGGGACGGTGCCCTGCTCTGAGCAATCAGATGGACTTGAACCTGAAACCTTCAGGACCCAAGTAGTATTAGTACGGAGTAGCAGTAGTATTAGTAGTACGTATTTGAAGTAAAATGTGACAAACTACAGTAAACGAGGCGTCTGTGACAGACGGTCATTAATCAACATGATGACGTTGTTAATGAGTAAAATCGTCCGTTTTTTGAATGAGGTTTGGTTGAAAACTTCAGTAAAATCGTCCGTTTATTGAATGAGGTTTGGTTCAGTTATGAGTTTGTGTCCTGGTGTTTCCTGTTGTGTGTATAATACAGCTGGATATAAACTGGTGTTTGGATCTGGAACCAGATTAAAGGTTGAACCCAGTGAGTATCAGTACATAGAAACTAACATATATTCATAACCAGTTCACATTTCAGAATGAACCAAAGGTTTGGTTGAAGATTTCAGTTAAATTGTCTGTTTTTTAATGAGGTTTGGTTGAAGATTTTAGTAAAATCTACAGTTTTTTGAATAAGGTTTGGTTGAAGACTTCAGTCAAATCTCTAGTTTTAATCTGGACATAATCTGAGTTTCAGGGATTAGACTGTAAATGCTGGTCTTCTGTTGAAAGTATACAGTAGCAGATCACCGACCAATGACGGAGCCAGACCCACAGTCTGTCTGTGGACCAGGTCTGGTTGAGCTCAGTTTGTGTCCTGGTGTTTCCTGTTGTGTGAATACTGGAGGTGGAAATAAACTGGTGTTTGGATCTGGAACCAGATTAAAGGTTGAACCCAGTGAGTATCAGTACATAGAAACTAACATATATTCATAACCAGTTCACATTTCAGAATGAACCAATCATAAACCAGCTTTGGCTCCTGACTAAAATGTTCAATATTCTTTAATGAGGTTTGGTTGAAGACTTCAAGTTTCAGCTTAAAGTAGAGTAGATCAAACACCGGTTGAAGACTTCAG